TTTATTCCCCTTTAAAACAGGAGGACCTAAACCATGTGACTTGGACGTGCAGGAAGAACCATGGCTACCTTCTAAAGGGGATTTGCTCAAGAGACGTGAGCGATCTCCAGGAGAAAAAGATTTTGTTTCATTGTTTTTAGAGCGGTTCTTTAAATTATGCTTATGAGGGCCTGATTTAGGAGTTGGAAGGAGCGGGGATTTTAATAATGGAATCTTATTTGACTTACAATGTGGCTCAGACTGTTCAGTAATGGGGCAAGCTCTCACCCCCTCATATAAAGCAGTGACATCCGGAACGGCTTTGTGATTGGGAGATCCAGGATGTATTTCCTTTTGTGTTTTTAGCATTGGGGGATTACTTGTTTTATCAATCGGTTCTTGCATTCCTGCAGTTATTAAGCTAAAATTAAAGAGAGGCTTATCTATCGGTTCTGACGTGTTGCCAGTGACTTCCTTCAGGGCTGACTGTAAATCTGGAGTCTTCTGGGCAGGGTAAGGTGCCCAGCGGCGGAACTTTTCCCGTGCCATGTTGGCACTCTTTCCGTTCATTTTTGAGACTGCTGTGTCTGTTTGTTTAGTCGTCTGACTTTCTCGCTGCTCCAAGTTGAACTCAAGCAAGCCTTCCGCGGCAGGGAATTTCTCCCCCGCGAGCCCCTCGGAAGGGCTTCTGTATTTAGCAGCTTTGTCGCTGTCCTGCCACTGCCATTTGTATCTCTCTTGGTTGTACTTGCTTGGCTTATTAGACTTCTTGCTCCACATCTTGGTCATGTCTTCCATTTGGTAGTTAGAGTTTCTGTTTCTGCCTTGTTGAAATTTGTCTCCAGGGCCATTGTAATTCCAACTATTTGTACCACGTACACTGGATTTCCAGTTTCCGTGACTGCTGCTCCCGTGCCAGCTGGGAAAGCCACCTGCTCCTTCAGGATGCCAGCTGGGATTCCTTCCTGCACCGTTATAATTCCAGTCCACCATTCCACTGTTCGAATGCCAACCTCCTCCAGAATTACTGTGATTATGGAACCAATTTGAAGAGCCTCTTGGAGCACCTTTATGCCACCCAGCACTTCCTCTTGGCCCACCACTGTTCCTCAAAGAGTGTGGAAAGCTACTTTTCCTACTATTATTAAAGCTATCCTTTTCCCATTTCCAGTCCCACTGGGGAGGTCCACGATGATGCCTTGCTGGCTGATTATAGCTCTCTCTGTCTTGGTAAGGGATTCGGTCTTCCCGTCTCCACTGGGGTTGCCTGTCATCCGAGTTTATTTCTTGGCTGTTACTGGAAGGCTCATCTTGTCGACTTTGTTCTTTTCTTTCCTGTATTAACTGAACAAGTTCCTTGTCAAAATAATCTTCTTCTTCTTCTTCCTTTCCACCATCTTCTCTTTCCTGGGCATCAACATTATCTTTGTGCAACTGGCCAGAAATGTGCTTTGCATATGCAGAGAGACTCACTTCTGTGACCCCGCACACTCGGCACTCATGACTACTGTCCCTGCCCTTCAAGTTCTCAAGTTCCCTGTGATGCAACATGCTCCGCATGTGTTCGTCCATCTCCTTTTTTGAGCCATACACAATGTGGCACAATATGCATTTTCGTTCTCGGACCATAGTGACCAGATCTGAAGCACTCAATGTCAACACTCACAGCCCGTCCTTCCTACGCCATTAGGCCGCCGAGGGCCCGGAGAGGGAGCTCCCAAAGGCCCCCTGTGCCTCCGGTCCGGCGGCGGCCTGGGACCCGCTCCCCGCCGGGCACTGACGCCCTGATAAATATTTATACACACCACTTCACTCCAATCACAGAAGCTCAGGGGTTTTACCCTCTCTGTAAAATATATGTTTAAAGTTATCATATCTCACATACACTTCAGTAAGTCATGCACAATACTCAAATGTCTTGTAACAACAAGTATTTTTCTTTTGAGTATGTCCTATGTGTGTCCTAACTCCTAAGTGACCTATGGTCATTGTAATTCAGTTCAGTTTCTTACCACATTTATCATTTAGGAGCCAGGATCATAGAGAACAGCAACTTCTTATAAGTAGAATGTGTAGTAGCCTCCCGTATTTAGAGAATCGGATTCATTCTCATTCTATAAGCCAGTGAAAGTCACCTGGACATACCAGCCAATTGGAGTTGAAAGCATACTCTATATGAAGGAAGATGGGTCAAAGGAATTGAGATGGTCCTTTTACAGAGGAGTATGAAAGCACTGGGACCAGCATAGCATCTACACCTAATCCCTTTATTATTTACTCAGGAGATGTACGTTATTGGGTTTCAAAATGGACCATTAGTCCCATCCACAGAAAGGAGGTACTATTGCAACACAAGCATGAAATACTAAAACTTGTTGGAGAGATGGCTCAGTGGTTAAGAACACTGGCTGCTCATCCAAAGGTCCTGAGTTCAATTCCCAGCAACCATATGGTGGCTCACGACTAGTGTGATCTGATGCAATCTTCTGGCATCAAGTCATACATGCAGATAGAATACTCATGTACATGAAATAAATAAAATACTCAAACTTGTGCTTTACTGATCTCTGATATTGAAGTAAACTAGTTGCTGTGGATATTGCTCTATATAAAGAAAACACGGATTGGCCAGTGGCCAAGGAGGAAGTATAGGCGGGACAAGGAGAGAGGAGAATTCTGGGAGGTTCAATGCTGAGAGAGAGAGAGACCTGCCAGCCACTGCCATAACAAGCAAGATGTAAGGTACCTGTAAGCCATGAGCCATGCGGTATGGTAACTTATAGATGAATAGAAATGGGTTAATTTAAGATAGAAGAAGTAGATAACAAGAAGCCTGCCATAGCCATACATTTTATAAATAATATAAGATCCTGAGTGATAATTTTATACATGGGTTCTGGGACTGTGGGGCTTAGTGGGACCTGGAGAGTTGCTCCAGCTACAACTAGTTTCATATGGGTTAGTGTTGGGTGTCTGTCATGTACCCCATGGGGTCTGTCATCAAGCAGTGAGGGAGTGCCTGGGACAGTGATGGTGCACATTCTCCTGTTCATCAACATCTGCATTCATATTATTTTATATCTGACCTGTTGAAGAAAGACTTTGTCCAGACTTTTACTCATTTCATGGGAGGTTACCTCTCAAATTTTTTGGAGTTCCTGGAGCTATTTAGAAGTCTGTTTTATCATAGTAGATCATGAAGCTTTATGCTGCTCAGTTCTGTCATAGTTAATATTCAACAAGACAATTCATGTAGGGAGCTCACTATTTCAGAAACACTGACATTGTGATTAAAGAGTTGAGCCTTTGAGCCATGAGATGCTCACCTTGGCAAGGAAGTGATGCTGAAGGCTGAGTTCACTCTCTTATCAACCAAACACTCACACCTATATAATGAACCCTGGTCAATCTCTGAATATCAGAGCTCAGATGAGTGCCCCCTGGTTGGCTTATTCTATATACTGTAACACAATAACATTCTGGGAAGGAGATGCACACATGGAATCAATGGAAATTTCCTTTATGGGACGCTCCCTGACCTCACCTGATATGTCTCTCCCTTTAGTTCTGCTTTGTAGCTTTCTACATAACATAACTATAATCGTAATAGAACAGAATCGTTAGTTCAGTGTGTCATCCTAGAAGCAAATAAATCTACAGGTATTATGGGATCCTGGGACTCTGCAGACAGTTAACTTGAAGTAATGACATCATTGGGAACTCCTGAACTTGAACCTCGACTCTGAAATGAGGATAACTGTGGAGGTTTGGCCTGAACTTGTAGAATAGTTTAATTAGTAAATGAAATGTTTTTGACTATGGCTTACTAGAACAGCCATACGAAACATTTTGAGGATGGCTGAGGAAATACAGGCAAGATCACATATCATCTGAGAAAAGAGTTGTTAAATTTTCTAAGAGTGATAGTGGTATTGTTTTGTTGTGCAATGACAATTTCAGATGATATATATTGAAATATTGACTGAAGTGTTATGTATCAAACTAGCTATCAAGTGCCCTATCAAATAACATGTGCATATATACATACACAAATATATATATATATATATATATATGTGTGTGTGTGTGTGTGTGTGTGTGTGTGTGTGTGTGTATCAAATTATCAAAATGTCAACAATCATTACTATAAATGGTAATTATATGAGTATTGATGATACCAGCCAGTCAACTTCTGTTTCAAAATATTCATGATAAGACTTTAAAAGGGCCTCCAAAGTGTTAAGAAGCATGCAAGCTCCATGGGACATGTGGCTCTCCTCAATGTCCATCCACAGGACACAGGCTGTCCCTAATGCGGCAGGCACAGGGTGGGACACCAAGAACAACAGGCGGTGCTAGTAGAAGGTTGGCTGTCATCTTCCTAGACTTGCTCTTAGGAAGGTCACCCAGCCAAGATCAGCCACCATCAGAGGCCCACATCAGCCTCACGGCACCCACAGCACCTCACACACTAGCCATGGGGACCAAGATCCTGAATGGGTCCTGGCAGTGCAGGTATTGGGGGACCTGAGAAAATGCTTATGAAAGGGCACAAACTGTCAGAGAAAATGTGAGTAAGCACGGAGGATCAAAGTGACAATAGGTAACAATGTCACCCTGTCTGTCTGAATTTGCTTAAGAAGATCTTAAATGTTCTATACCACACACATAAAACAGACAACTATGTTAGGTAATAGAGGGTATTGTTGTGGTAGCCATTGTATAATAAATTTCCATATCAGGTCAAGACAGTGTAATGTAAATATACATGATTTATTTGTGAATTGTACATCAATAAATCCAAATACAGAGGAACAAAGAGAGAGACAGATGTCTAGAGGGTCCACACCATACAATTCTATAATCAAATAAGACTTTAGGATTCTAAGATGGACAGAGAAGCTGGAGTGCTTCCACATATGCACAAAGGGATCCTGTTGAGTCCCTGGCATATGGGAAATTCTCATTATATAAAGAGTAGAGGATGAATAAATAAATATAACTATATATGTGAACCAGTATTATCATATGTAAAACTTTTGGCTGCCTACCTAAATTTCTAAGGACATCTATTCTACAAGAAGATCTTTCCAAGTATCTGTGTAATGGTTGATAAAAATGCAATCCCATGTCCATGAAGAATTATTGATTCATAAGTATATTTTCTTCATCTGACAAACTGACATCTGTTTAACACTGCAAATGATGTCATTCCAGCCCCAACCAGAAGATAGATGATTTATTATAACACATTGTTCGTTGTCACTGCTGGGCTCACCTGGGTGCCAGAACCTGGAAGGGAGGAAAGAGCATCAGGGTGTTTCCCACAGTGATGCTGGGAAAGAGAAAACAAGAGTAAGCAAGAAGAGGATGCGGTGGGAATTTGTGGAAATCAGATTCAGGTGTGTACAAATCAACCGTTCTCCACCAACCATGTCTGACATGTCCCTGGAAACAGGGCCACTGCATTCAATATTCTCTAGCTTGTTATTCAACTGTTCTTCCAGAACACATCCCAGGGGCTACTTCATCCCTAGGTCTTGGTACCTGGCGACTGTCATTCCATGTGCTTGTTTATATGTTGAAAAGGTCTCTCATTCTCATGCTGTAATAATTTTTTTTTCATTTTACAGTAGTCTTATTTTAGAGACTGGAGAAATACTTATAATAGTTAGATAATCTATGTATTTCTGTCATCTAGGACAAGTAATGTACTACCCAGGATTCCTACTTTTATTCTCTGAAAACTAAGAATGAGAATAACATTACTACCTATTTCTCACAATAGAAATTAGGATAGAATATGGGAACATACTAAGGTATTAGAGTTTTTAAATAATTACATAAATACGACACATAAAAATATGAGCTTGAGGGCTTTTGATTTAAGAGAAATAATCAGTTATGATCTTGACATTAATTTTTATTATAGATATAAATGAAATCTGGACAGATGGCTCAGACATGAAGAGTGCTTGCTGACTTTCCAGAAAACATGACATTTCTGTTCCCAGCACCCATATTGATGCAGTCACACCAACTGTGACCTTAGCTGCAGAGTATCCAACACCCACTTACGGGCTCCATGTGCTCCCACATACACATGGTACACAGAGAGACATAGATATACACACTAATAAAAATAATTTAAATCTATTGTTTAATATAGGGAGAGACTGAAAGCATAATAAAACCCATCATGGTGTAGTACTTTGGTGCTACACTCTTCAAACTCAGTTTCCTCATCTATCCTGGAGTATCAGTGACAAGTGTCTCACAGAACTCCTTTTGAGGAAATGAGGATAAAGTAACTCCACCCTCAACAGTCACACCAGGAGTGAGCTGTTTTAGTTTCATAACCAACAGCTGGAACACCCTAAAGTCTTCTCATGCTACAGGACCCAGGACTCCTCTAGGTAACTCTGGACTCACGTGGCACTTTCATTGTATGGTGTCTGATCAACCCAGCGCCACTGTCGGTGACCTGCATCTGAAAGCCCAATAAAATAAGCAGCATTATGTTTCAGGATCTTGGTGATGAAATCCTAAGAGGAAAGAGAGATACAGCATTCAGCCTGGATGGAGTGCTTCTTTTTCTGTTATAGAATTTTTATTAGATCTTTTAAAAATTAATTTTACTATACAAAATTATAGATCCAATATGATGCACATATGCAAATATGTAATAATCAAATCCTATTCATCTCTCTAGGCCCTTAAATGTTTCTGAAATTATAGATTAATACACATTAATTATACATTTTAGAGGTATACTATGATATTTTGACTGACTTATTTCTGGTAACAATGAGATGAGA